TTTATCATTTTAATTTCCAGTCATCATATTTATAATTATCAGTCATTATCTTTATAATTACCTGTTTTCAATATCAGTTATCATCATTATAATTATCAGGCAATTTTTATAGGTGCCCGTTTATAATTACCAGTCACAATCTTTATATTGACGATGAAATTTATATTCGCTCTATCGTTACTTCCATGGAAAGTGCTCGGAGGAACTACATTTCTTGCTTTCGCCAGGTTTATCTTTCACGGCTAGGACACGCCATGCCACTTACATTGTAGCAAATCACCCGCGTTCCCCCCGTATTCTATCAGTGATAAGTAAGTTCTACTCCAACAGCTTCTTCCCTCGATCCACTGCTCTGTGGAACAGACTCCGAATAGAATGTTGCCCTGATCACTAGAGTCTTAACTTGTTCAAATCTAGAGTTAACTTCCCCTCCTTTTCATATAAACTATCCTTTAACGTAACCCGCTACCTCGAGTAGGACATCACTAAAAAAATAATAAGATGGTATCACATCATAATTAATTTAATTTTTATCTAACTAGTCACATAAAGGATAATGATTGCCAGTGGATGTCCCTAACTTGCAGCCTTGTGCCATGCTAATTTAATGGAGTAAACATTTTAATGCTTCATGATTTTGGTGATCATGACTCTCCACAGTTTCCTTTCCTTTATTACCTGCGAATTGCCATGACTTTTTGGGTAAGATAGAGATGTGGTATCTCATTGTCTACTCCACAATTTTTAATTTAGAGAAGTCCTTCACCTAGAAGGATTACCACTCACAGCTAGAGATGTCACTCTGCCCTGCTATTTAACTCATAGTTGAAGGTAGGGAAGTGGTGGATTTGTTACGTTCTCAAGAGTATTTGTGTTAAAATGAACAGAAGAGAATAGACAGGTATTTGAACTCATCAAATAACTAAGGATGGAACTAACCCGAAATGCAGGATCTGCGGAAAATATGATGAAATCGTCGACCATATAATCTCAGGATGTCCGGAACTAACACAAAGTGAATATACCCTCAGACAAAACAAGGTAGTGACATATGAGAACTGGAAGATATGCAAAAAGCACGAAATTGAAACCACTGAGAGATGGTATGAAAACCAACCAGACACAGTTACCCAAAATATTGATGTAACTATCCTCTGGGACATGTCAATTCAAACTGGCAAGGAAATAAAAGCCAACCGACGTGATACTATCATAAAAAACAAGAGATTCAGGAAGTGTATGATAATTGCCAGAGCTGGAACATCTGAAAGAAATACCTCGATGGAAAGTATCGAGAAATTGTCCAAATACAAGGATCTGGAGATCGAGATTAACAGGATGTGCGGAATGAAGATTGAGACCGTACCAATAGTAATCGGAGTACTGGGCCTTGTGAGAAAAGGAATGGACAATTTTACTAACAGTGTCCCAGGTTACATCAACATACAAGTTACCCAGAAGATCGCCCTACTAGGAACCTCCCATATACTAAGAAAAGTGCTATCAATTAAATGACAATTCTCCTATAGGACTTACGGACCATAATTTGAACCCGGCTCTACAGGATACAAAGCAGGAAACATAGCATACACAAATGATGATAATGATAATAATAAGAGAACATGTTACTAGGGGCAATGTTTAGCTAAATAATCTTACCAGTTTTAGTGCATATGACTCCATCAACCATAAAGCCACTATCCTTGAAATTGAAATAAATGTCATGTAAGACCATTTATTTCAAGTTCTAGGCCAACAAAGTAGGTAAAAACATCAAAAGGTAAAAGGATTAATGACCAATCTGAAAACTAAATGGGATGAAAAACCTTTACATGAGCAATGACCAATATCCTGCTATTGACAAAAGACTCTGATGTTGAAATAATTTTGTCCCAAACATGTCTTTACAGGCAAATGCTAAAAATATCAGACAGAACACATGAGCTGAAGTAAAATAATAAATAAAAATAGGAACAACAAGGAAACTTATACTCACAATCAGAAAGAGACAATTGAAAGTCCTGGAACTTATAATGATAATTTAACACTCAGCGGGCAAGAGAAGCAGATGGGAAAACAGTGGGTAAGCTACTTAACAAATTTGAACCATTCTAGGCATTTCCGAGTTAAACCACATGACAAACGGTGCAGTGCAGGACATTATTAGGTAAGAACCAGCCCCTTTGAAGTCCACGCATGCACCGTTAAGAAGAGAAAGTTGAAATGATATAGCCATGTGATGAGGGCTAAAGATCTGTCTACTACCTTCTTGCAAGGCACCAACTTAGACATAAAAATGAAGAAGCATATGGAGGAAAACAATGGGCTGACGACATCAATAAGTCAACTGGAAGATCATTCACAGAAGCTAAGACCCTGGCATGCAACTGAGACATAAGAAGGGAGCTGGTCAGGTGCTCAACTGCAAAGCAACATAAGACTTACGTTGATTATTTGTTTTATATGCTGTTTGATACAAACATTTACCAGGTCTTTCTCCTGAGACCTAAAGTAAATGAAGAATTTTCATTTAACTTTTTCTAAACATGGGAACAGTACACATTAACACATTTTTTTTTGTATTTCAGATAAAAATGGATTTCTTGGGACTTAATATGTATATCAGTATTGTTCTTAATCATTCCTAATAATCATACAACTACTAGAATAATGCTTGTCTTTCTTTTGCTGAATTGTTTTTATCAGTACGATGAAGTCTATAAGATAACATTTATGTTCTGTGAAATCTCTTATTATAATATCCGTCATATTAATTGTTTTCAACGGCTTAGCAACCCTTTGCAGGTTATTTAAAGTCAGAACTTATTTTTAGATTGCAAAACGTTTGGTGGTGAAGATAATAATGGTTTAGTGATACAAGTATTGCTAAGAGAATTAGGAGAAGGTGGAGGAAAAGATCTGACGGAAAGAGGAAGGAGGAGGAGGAGGAAGGGAAAGAGAATTAGGAAAAGGTGGAGGAAAAGATCTGGCGGAAAGAGGAAGGAGGAGGAGGAGGAAGGGAAAGAGAATTAGGAAAAGGTGGAAGAAAAGATCTGACGGGAAGAGGAAGGAGGAGGAGGAGGAAGGGAAAGAGAATTAGGAAAAGGTGGAAGAAAAGATCTGACGGGAAGAGGAAGGAGGGAAAAACAATTCGAAGAAATTGGAAGAAAATATCTGACGGAAAGAGGAGGAGGAGGAAGGGAAAGAGAATTAGGAAAAGGTGGGAGAAAATGTCTGACGGAAAGAGGAAGGAGGAGGAGGAGGGGAAGAGAATTAGGAAAAGGTGGAAGAAAATGTCTGGCGGAAAGAGGGAGGAGAAGGGGGAAGGGAAAGAGAATTAGGAAAAGGTGGAAGAAAATGTCTGACGGAAAGAGGAAGGAGGAGGAGGAGGAGAAGAAGCAGGAAGGGAAAGAGAATTAGGAGAAGGTGTAAGAAAAGATCTGATGGGAAGAGGAAGGAGGGAAAGACAATTCGAAGAAATTGGAAGAAAATATCTGACGGAAAGAGGAGGAGGAGGAAGGGAAAGAGAATTAGGAAAAGGTGGAAGAAAATGTCTGGCGGAAAGAGGAAGGAGGAGGAGGGGAAAGAGAATTAGGAAAAGGTGGAAGAAAATGTCTGGCGGAAAGAGTAAGGAGGAGGGGGAAGGGAAAGAGAATTAGGAAAAGGTGGAAGAAAATGTCTGGCGGAAAGAGGGAGGAGGAGGAGGAGGAGGGGGAAGGGAAAGAGAATTAGGAAAAGGTGGAAGAAAATGTCTGACGGAAAGAGGAAGGAGGAGGAGAAGGAGCAGGAAGGGAAAGAGAATTAGGAGAAGGTGTAAGAAAAGATCTGACGGGAAGAGGAAGGAGGGAAAGACAATTCGGAGAAATTGGAAGAAAAGATCTGACGGAAAGAGGAAGCAGGAGGAAAAGAGAATTAGGAGGTGGACGAAAAGGTCTGACGGAAAGAGGAAGGAGGAAGGGAAAGTGAATTAGGAGAAGGCGGAGTAAAAGCAATAGTAAAGATAGAAGAAAAGAAGGAGAGGAAAAGTTTTTTTCGTTTTGTTTTGTTTTTTTGTCTTTTGTTTTTTTTTTTCTTGGAATGAAAGTAATTTTTCCATGCCAAGCAATTGTGTGGATATGTGTGTCACACTGAACATGTTTGTTTGTCTGTCCTCCATACATAACAAGAGCAATTTTCACAGTAAACAGAAAAAAAAAACATTTATACGTCTGATCATCCTGACTCACTATCAGCACATAGGACCCGTAAAATGTCAGAATATGCAAATTTGCTCAGTCAGGTGCCAGATTAAATATGTGAGAAAAAAAGAAAATCCAACGGAAAAATACTATCTTCATTCAGTTTTCCGGCAATTAAATACATGTGTTATAATTCAGCAATTTATAACAATTACTTGGGCCTTGGCTCGTGGTTGAGATATTTTATTATTTTGATTAGTCTTTTCTTCCTCTTATCGTTGATTTTTATCGCAACCTTTGAGTTTGAATGCTTTCTAACCATTAAAAGATCATAAAGTAGGAATTAACAATCCAAGTTGATTCATCTTAAAAAGCTATGATAAAAAGCAGTATTAAGATGAAGAAAAGATATACGAACAATTAATTATGTAAATAGTTCATTGAGAGTGCGCATAAGCCTAGATATATTTCCATTTTTTCCATTGTCCTCAATATTTGTCGTTATTATCACACTGTTTCATCTTATGTGCCTTCTGGCCTTCATCAGTGTTTGCCGATCCAAGAAACGTTCAGATAATTTCAAATTGAACCCTTTATTTAATCTACAAGGATATGTTGTTCTCAGTCCACTTTCAATGTCTATGGGTACATTATTTTGTACTGGTTTACAGCCACATCAAGTTAAAAAAAAAATTAACATCACAATTAGACTCGCCGATAAACACAACCTATATATTACGTTGATTCATAATACCTGTTTTTTAGAACCATTTCTGGTGACGAATGTATCATCCTAACTAAAAGTTCCTTAAATGTAACGGCTTACGGCCATATCACGTTGAAACACCTGTTCCCGTACGATCATCGAAGTTAAGCAACGCCGAGCCTGGTCATTAGTACCTAGATGGGTGACCGCCTGAGTATACTAAGTGATATAAGTTTGGATGTGCAGGTGGTGTAATGGATAATAACTAAGAATGGCTAATTGGAGAGCCGAGTTCAAATTCTAATTGTGTTTGTTATATTCACTTGCAAATACACTTGGGAAAAGGTATGATTCACCCCTCCCCCAACTATTGGTCAATTAGTAAAACTTGTATCACTAAACCATTATTATCTCCAACGGTAATATAACATTGCGTACAAAATATGAAATTTCAACTAGAGGTTGATATACTGATCTGTTTCTGTTGAGTCTAAGTTTGCACTACCTGACCCAGGGATTGAACCCACAATTACTATGTCACCAAATCCATGAACCAACATTTTAATCCACGAGGCTATTGGGAAATCTGGAGCCTAGAACTTAGAGCTTTAAGCCTGCCTGATGCTGACAATACTCTCACACCTGATTGCATTCACTACAGTTTCTCTTTTCTTACTACAGAAATTCAGACAGAAATTAAACCTGACTTGTTTCTACGTCCTTTAAAAAAAAAAGACAATATTATGAGAAGCTTTTGGAGTAGAGATTACTGTAGATCTGTAGCCTATGTAGCCGTAGGCTCTCATGACTGAATTAAGTCATTTTCCATGAAAGATTGACCTCTTAACTATGTTACATCATTCTATTTAGTTGTGCTGAAAAGCAATAAAAAAAAAAAGCTGGGATAAAAAGAATTAATATTATGAAGAAAAGACGAGTCGACAATCAATGAAGTAAACTTCACACATAAATACACACGTAAAATATTTTAAATATTTATTTGGAGTCTATGATTACTATTTCTTAATTAAAGTATAAATATGGTATATATTCAATTTATTGAGCTTGGTGAGTGATGTGTACGCGAATCCTTGAAATTAGTCAAAAAGGTATCGAATGTATAGAACCATCGAATCCACCCGAAAGATCCTTTCCTGCATAGTAAGGATCTTCGCCAGGGCAACATACAGTTCTGAATTCAGAGATTTCCTTCTCCTATACTAGTTGCCACCCAAGGCTATAGAACCCAGTTATCTCCTACTATGTACTCATACCTGGCAGAGATGAGTTGGATTCATCCTTTTCCAAGTGAATGTAATGAACTCGTCTGGAAATCGAACTCGGCTCTCCGATATCCGCAGTCCGAGCCGCAGCACATTACTCAACCGTGCCTTCTCTGGTCAAAAGATCAATTAAACTTTTATTAATTTATTCACTGCTAGTAGCATGGCCCGGCGTTGACCGTGCTTTATTCAAAAATCGTACGGCTCATACAGCAATCGCTATCACTTGACTTAAAATATGTTTGCCCTTCCTTGCCTTTAAAGGAGTGTCCTTTGCCGTGCTGATGTTGCTACATGCCTTGCTTCTTGCCTATCTCACACTGCGAAATTTTTATAAGCTCTATACTAAACATTAAATCTGTTACGAAAAAAGAACTAAACCAAATGAACACAAAACGATCAGCTTTAAAAACGGACTCGTAACTGGAAAAACCGAATGAAAACAAATACTTTTACACACCCAACCCAGTTCTGCGGAATCAGAATCAACGTTGAGTTTAAACAAGCGAATGAGCCAACTGGAGTAAAGGGCCATGCAGATGTAAATTTTTCCCACTTGTGACGAATGCAGCTATCGATTTTTTTTGCATGCTAGCATGCTTGTTAACATTCGTGTCAGTCAGCTGTTGGCTCTAACGCTGGCCAATAGAATCTTCCTGCCTATTCGTGGCAGCCAGCTATAGGCTCTCACTCTGGCCAGTAGAAAATGGCCGCAAACTACATGAAAACTGCCGTAGAAGCATGAAAAAATCGATCATTTCCACTATCGAAGGGAGTTGGGAAATGCAAAGTCGGTCTTGGCCTTCCCGCTAACTTGGAGCATGTGCATGTAAATTTTGATTCAAATCCTTCAAAAATTGCGGCCGTGCATTCGTTACACACACACACACACACACACACACACACACACACACACACACACATCCTGCCTTTTATAGATAGAGATTATTGTTCTAATTCTCTATTAAACACTTTCTTTAAAGAAAATTCTGCTCGCCTAAAAATTCGTTAAATTCTAGTCATTTTACGCCATTTGATAGCTGCTACTTATTGGTTTTATTTTAATTTGTTGGTTAATCCCGTTTTTCGAGCACAGCTATCTGCTAAGGTGTCTACCAATCCCTGATGCAGACACCAGCTCAGGCACATTTCTATGATTGTTCAATACGCAGAGAACCAACCTGTAGTTTATGCTACAACTAAGCCGAGCAGTTTAGTTACAGTTTCTGATTATATAATTTATATCTATCATGATTAACAGTTTTAACAACACGACTACGCTCAAAGCCTCAGTCAATATGACTTGTGACTTAATGCTAACACAGCCATCATTGACTTCTGAACAAATCCGTCTATCTGCTTTCACTCACACGGCTTGGGTTAAATAGTGATCAGGTTTTTTCTAAAATTGTTGTACGCTGGGATCGCCTCCCCATCCCAATAAGATCCAGAGGTGACAAATTGACTATGATGAGGTTTGAACTTTGGCCTCAAGGTCAGAAACTGAAAATTCTAACCATTGAGCCATGCATCTCTGTCGTACGGCACAATCTTCCTATCTATATTTCTGTTTCAGGTTAGAGATTATACATTAACTAAGTTAAAATTAATAAATGTCAATATTATGCTATGTTTATAATGTAGCAAACATAAACGTGGTAGAAGTTATACGCTATGATAATAAACAATGTCCGAAGAAAAATATCTCTATTGGCCACTCTGTTTAGTCCCTTGTGTCTCTGACACGAGTGTTAATATTGATAATCCAGAACAGAACAGACAACCATATGTTTCTTATTATTATGGGTTTGTGTGCTTGCAAAACTCAAATAAATTTCTTCCAGATGAGAACAAAAACAGAGGATTTAAAAAATAGAAACACAATGTAACAATTACTTACTTTAATCTAAAAAAAAATGTCTCCCTTAAATGAATCTGAATCATTTACAAGTAGAAATTATAAAAAATAAAGAAAACCTAAGTGTAGAACTCGTTTAAAAATATTTTTTATTCTTTGCAGTCGTAAGTAGAACAAGGCTTCCTTTTTTATTTCTCGTGTGAAGGCTTTCAATTTGTTCCTTTCATATTTCTTCTTTTTCTTTCTTTCGTTTTTCATTCATTCTCTCTCTCTCTCTCTCTCTCTCCACACACACACACACACACACACACACACACACACACTCTTTTTTTTAATGATACAAATTTTCTTTAATGATACAAATGTCCTAGAATTTGTATTTACTTCTTCTGGACAAAACCAGCCGTACAAATTTTACCAGTTCTTCTTAAGAGGACAACCAACGGTAATGATAGAAAAATGGCAATAAAATTTGATGAGAATAAAAAATATAGATTCTATTTTCATAAGAACCTTTATGTATGGATTAGCGCTACAATATAACAATTATTTAATAAGCTTAGTTTCTGTCTGATTTCCTGGGATGAGAAGTCATCATTATGCACCTTATTTAAATGCAGCCTATTGTCCAAATCTATATTGTTGTTATCCCACTCTTTCTGTCCTTGTACCATCGAACTTCTTCAAGTCCCTGTCCATCTAGGTAACTTTCTGAGAATTTTTAAATGAATCCTTTATTTAATCTATGAGGGCAGATTGTTGTTCTTCTTCTGTCCATATCTAGGTATACTTCATCTAGTTCTTATTTAGTACCACTTAGTTATTACTCATCCCCTTTCCAGGGATAAATATGAATTAGACGAGATGGTCAGTAGAATGAAACACAATCTATTCTGTAGATTAAGTAAAGGGTTCAGTTTTAAATTCTCCAACGTTTACACAAACGAATAAGCACCTGATGAAGGCCGGAGGGCAAGATGACCGAAACGCTGTGATAACAACAGCAAAGATGAGGACGATAGTCCACGTGTAAATAATATAAATAAATCTTAGCCACGTTTGGCACAAGGGCAAATGCGTAAGGCTTTAAGTGAGCACTAAAGTCATTATAATAATAAATTGATATCCAATGTATGCTCATCAACATTATTTACTAAGCTTAACTTAGTTTAGTACAAGACTATAGTAAAGGGGTATTTGGCGAGAAAACAAATGAAGACCGATCTTACAACACTAGTAAATTGGTCCATACAATGAATGTTCTAAGATTACACTGGTTGAATTTCAAGTTGTTAGTTTCGTCCCCCTATCCATAAAACTAGAATATTAGAAGTGTGTCTTATTGATTGTCATATCTCCTTCTTCTTCTAAGTGTTGTGAGCGGTCATGTCTCTCCACAACTTCCTATCTTTTGTAGCCCTAAGCAATGTTTGTCATTTTGAAATCCCTCTCACTCTCCATAAGCTCATCAAATAATGGCCCGCTGCCTTGCCTGTCTCTTTTGCATTTGATATGTCTTGTGAGTTACATATTTTCCAAGCCCTCCTTTCTCATTATATGGTGCCCCAGATAAAAGCTGAATAGAAATAATTTGACTGGCATTCATCTTTAACATGTTAATTGTTAAAAATGACATTTATTTTATTTTAAAAAGTAATGTAGCAAAAGTTACTTCAAGCAAAAACAAACACGAAGTTGGGGAGAGCCATAATTTCCCACGTCCTGAAGGGACATGGTACATAAAAGAAGAACTATTTGCTTTAATTATTCCTTTTTTCAAATAATATTGAGTTGTTAAAAAATGTTCTAAAACAACAAAGGGTAGTTCAATTTTTTGAATTTTTATTACATTTTAATTTTTAAAAACTAACTGCTACTGAAACGAGTTTTTATATAAAGTATTCCTTTTCTTATCTCAGAAGATTGACGAAATTAAAAAAAATATATAAAACTCTTTCAAAATTTATAAAAGATTAAATTTTTATATTCTTACATATTCTTTAAAAACAACCTGTTCTTAACTTTGTCGATCATCATCTCATAGAAATTCAAATATATTCCTTAAATTTTTCAAGAGTAATATCAA